GGTTGTCGTGGGTAAAGGTTTATTTGTGTCAATGACTTTGTCAGGTGTTGATGAGGGCGGAGTTTGATTCAGTTGTGGGGTCTCAGCTGAAGTGGCCAAGGTAAATAAAATTGTACTTTTGGATGACCCTACCAGCTCCTTTGCTGTAGAGGTCACCGTGAGATCTAACAGTGACATACTATTGGTGACTGTCTTGATGTTCGTGTGCATTGTCGAGGCCGTCTGCTCAGTGGGCCCTGTTTCACTACTGCTTTGGGGTGATGTTGGAAGAGTAGCTGATGTCATCTGTCCTTGGGACTTATTTGTGGATGTCTTTTTCCCTGAGGAACTGTTAAGTTCCTCTGTGGAGATGTGGCCATTTTTTTGGTGAGTCACAACTGAACTCGTAGATGAGCAAGATAGATTCTCATTAAGCATGGAAACTTTTGTGGAAGGTGAGTCCGAGGCAACCACCCAGACTAAAACACAGCCTGTGAAAACAAGAACAGAAATGAAAATGAAGACACTGGCCTACTGCTCCATCCACTTCTCAGGCAGAGAGGCAGAGAGGCAGAGAGGCAGAGAGGCAGAGAGGCAGAGAGGCAGAGAGAGGCAGGCAAAGAGGCAGAGAGGCAGGCAGAGAGGCAGGCAGAGAGGCAGGCAGAGAGGCAGAGAGGCAGGCAGAGAGGCAGAGAGGCAGAGAGGCAGAGAGAGGCAGAGGCAAGAGGATCTCAGTGAGTTCAAACCAGTCTGGTCTACAGAGTGACCCTGTCTCTCTGCAGGGTTGGTAAGGTAAGATGGTTTATCATGTAAAGATGCCACATAGAGCTGACACCTCAGTTTAATTCCCAAACCCCACGGTCAAAGAGAACTCACTCCCGAAGTTCATCATCTGACTTATAACTGTACCGTAGTGTACTCTCTCCCCGCTGCACACATACACACACACACACACACACACACACACACACTGATAATAATAAATTTGTTTTAAAACATTAGTGGTCAAGGATGAACTTGACATATTTTACTCTCATTTGTCTAAGGCACCAGAATTGATACACTGTTTGCTCACCAACTGCAGTAAGATCTATTATTCCTACACACCAGAGAAATGAAACTGAGGCTGAAACAGGTGGATCGGTCTGTCCAAGGCCACACCCCTAAGAAGTGAGGATGCTGCTTTTGAATCCAGATCCATCAGACTCCTGAGTCTTTTTTCTCAGCTGCCCTGTGGAACTTATAAAAACATCGGCTTGTTTCCCAAGCTGAGCGAGCCACTCTCCCTTGAGGGGAAAACCCACGCAAGTGCACTGAAGGAGATTCCCAGGAAACCTTGCTCCTTCCCCTGGGCAAAAGGCAGAAAGAGGCCATCACCTGATACCCTCCTCTAGATACCTAGCAACTACCAGAGAGCTGATTCAGAAGATGGAAGGTGAGCTGGCATGGGCCAGTCTCTCCTTCCCATCAACTACATCAGAAAAGGCGCTGGCCCTCGGCCTTCCCACTTCTGCATGCCCCTGTCTCACCGATACTCCAATGTCTTCCTCCTGTGCAGACCTGAGGAGTCACCATAGGGTAACAGAGCTGCCCGGAATGCTGACAAAGAGTAGGGAGGCTTGGGATGGGGACTGGTTCTATTGTGTTTCCTGTGTGACCTTGTGGGAGCCCACCACTTGTTCTGGTCCCCATGTCCCACTCAGCATAATGAGATACTTGGGCTTACTGTTAGAGGAGCCACAAAATCACCGGCTAACAGAGCAGAGGCCTTGTCCCTGGGACTTCCCTCACGTTTTTATTTTCACGGAGGGCTATCTCCCTCGGCTTGAACTGCATGCTTTCCCCCCCCCCTTTTGGAATTTTTGGAGACGGGGTTTTGAGTAGCTCAGGCTAACTTTCAAATCCAGATCTTCCACTTCCCCAAGGGCTGGGACTGTAGGCATGCACTACTACACCGAATCTGACTTCATGAATTTTCAAAGTGGTCATCCAGCTCCTCTGTCCATCTGCAGAAGTCTCTCGTTTCCCCACTGACGAATCATGCCGTTCTGTCCCGCTGTCTTCCCATTGGCTGGCTTACTTCTGTATCACTGCACCACCACCAGTAACATCTGTTCTATTACGTCTCCCCCTACCTCTACCCCTAGTCTCCCATTTTATCCTTCAAAAAAAAAAATTGCTTTGGGGTAGGGTAGCCTAGAGAGATAGCTCACAGTTAAAAGCAAGATCCAAGTTCCGTTCCCAACGTCCATGTTGCACGGCTGACAGTGGCCTATAACTCTGGCTCCAGGGCATCTGATACCCAGTAACAGCCTGGGCTTTAAGTGAGGTGATGGCCCAGGGGTTTTGACCCTGCTACATTCCTCTACCTATCTCTGTCCTCTGTAAGGCCACCAGTCTGATGTCTGACCCTTTCACCTCCTTGGGGCTCGGATTACAAGCATATACCACCACTTTCAACCTAACTTTATGCTTCTTTCAAGTGGTTGCATGTGCATGCACGCGTGCGGGTACACACACACATACAATCATGGAAAGTTTTACAATCCTTTTACATTTACTTTTTTTACTTTTTGGATTCCTTGAGACTATAGCATAGGCTAATCTTGAATACGATCCACCGGCTTCCATGTCCCACAGGTTTGGGCTACCACGGCCAGCTTCCCCCGGCTCTTTCTTGCACATCTTAGAATCAGTTTATCTACAATCCCTGACTGGGATTTTTTTCGATTTTTTCTTTTTCTTGGTTTTTCGAGACAGGGTTTCTCTGTGTAGCCCTGGCTGTCCTGGAACTCACTCTGTAGACCAGGCTAGCCTCGAACTCAGAAATCTGCCTGCCTCTGCCTCCCAAGTGCTGGGATTAAAGGCCTGCGCCACCACTGCCCGGCCTTGACTGGGATTTTAATTATCTTCATGATAATTGATATTCCCCATCCTCGGCCACGGCATGTGACCTAGACTTTAGAGCCAGACCTGGGGTCAGTCCCTACTGTAATTGGGACAGTCCCTATGGTGTAACTGAGAGGATGTAGAAGTCAACATGTGCCTGAGTCTCAGTTTCCCTCACCACAGAGCAGGGACGCCGATAGTACTTGACTGAGACCCTGGGATTGCTTACGGTAAGGCAATGGAAGCCCTCACACAGTGCCTGGCACAGGAGCAGGCTCAGGCAGCTACTCCATGAGTGGACCCCTGCAGCTGGAGTGACGAGACATCGCCCACACCGCTGCTGCTCTCAGCATGTTTGCTAATGCCTGCTGCTTCACTGCTCTGTCAAAGAGGCTCCAGTCCACGGTCAAAGTCACAGAGCTGGGGAGCTGATGACACATACAGTATCTTGCCTGTATACTCCCTTATACCGACCTAGGTACTCAGAACCCAGAATGCTTTCCTTTCCGAAACTGCGAGGCACCAGGGTACAGACCTTGTCAGAGAAACGCAAAGCAACAGGGTCTAAACACTTGAGCCCTCAGCCGGTTGAAAAGTCCAAGGTTATTAACCTGTCACAGAGGGGAAGGATAGACAGGACAAAGGGGAAGACAGACAGATGGAGGAGTCAGACAGGCAAACATAAGCTAGTGCTTTGGAAGAGACGTGTGGGAGAGGTCAGAGCCCCATGGAGGTCATCCTGTCTTTCAAAATCTGGTGCCTCTGCCCTATGCCTTTTAGACTGAAGACATCAGGGTGTGGCAAAGCTTCCCTCAGCCATCTCTGGAGAAGCATCACCTGGATTTCTGGCAAGTTCTTCCCCTCTCTGACCAGTCAGAAGAGAAGCCACAAGTGAGAGATAGAAAAGGTGTTGGGTACTCACCAAGCAGGTTGAAGACTCTGTCCCTACTGAGCAGCAGGAGAAGCAGCAGACACCAGTGGCTGCCCATGTCTGTGCTGGTGGGTGGTCCTGGGGGACGTTAGGAAGGAGCTCTGGCCCGAACAAAGGGACAGACAGCAAGACAACAGGATCCTGGGGCTTTTTTTTATAGTTAGAACCAGTGTTGACGGGGAGTCAGAGGAGGGGGAGAGGCTGTTTCCCATCAGCTCCAATCAGTGGACCTCTGGGGACAGCAGTTCCAACTAGTGACAATCCCCAAGGATCCTAGTCGTCAGCTTTTAATGAATAGGAGGGCAGACCTCTGGGCCACCCAGCTTCCCTGGCCCCAGCACCAGAGTATCTGAGTCTTGGCGATACTGGCCTCCCTTCTTTTGGGTCTGAGTTGACATTTGAGAAGTCAGACCTTCTGCCTGTGCTGTGGGATGTAAAATCACACCAGGAAGTGTGGTAAGGCAGGTCGAGACCCAGAGACTCTCTGCGGGCACACACCTGAGGCTTAGGTGACTCCCATTTTCCTGCCAGACTCCTGACTTGGAACATGTGCCATGCTTCTCACATAAAAGAAACATGTCCCATGGTCATGTAGGCTCAAAACAGAGTTCTCCGTGCTAATGAGGTACCTAGAGGCCCAAAGGCTTAGCCAGTAAGCTTCTTTCCCAGACATTTCTCCCAGCAAAAGGTATTTAATCTCAGGCCCACCCTGAGAAGTGGGGTATGGTTTTGTGCATCCATCTCCCGCCATGACAATAAACTGTTTAGAACCATGGACTGTCTCTTTTCTTCAAGATCCACCATAGGGAGCCATGAGGAAGGCCTTTGCCTACAGAGCCACAGCCTTTTCTCCCATAGAGGGCCTCTCTGCACTCCCAGCCACAATCACCACCAAGCCTGTCTCCGCCAAGCTAAGGACAATCATTTCTGCTGAGCTCTCTCCACTTCCCACCCCCATCCAGGGGACCCTGACTCCATTCTGTGCTCTTCTGAGACTCCCAGAGGCACCTGGATGTCCAAGAGTCTGAGAAATTCATGACTTCAGTCTCGTCAAAAGCCAGGGGACCCCCGAACCAGCTTGGGCTTCCCACATCTCAGACTGCACTTTCTCACCCCTGTAGCTGTGTCTCTGCACTTTCCTATAGCCCAGCACCTGTCCCTGTAGTAGCATGGGATAAGCATAGTCAA